TGGGGAATCCTGGGAGTTGAAGTCCACACGTCTTGAAGTTGCCCAGGTTGAGAAACACTAATGTAGAAGGCCAACTTAAACCTTTTTTTTTTAATGGATAGCTCATTGCAGGGATGAGATGATTGTTTTGGCCATTGTGAAATGCTGAATAGGACTAGAGATGATCCGTTCTAGAGAACATGGTGATCCCAGGTTCAATCTCCAAAGGAAAAGGCCTGGCTAAAAAAGTACGTTTAAAGCTCCCTCCTACCTGGTAATTATTATTGGACCGTATGATTTCATGGTCCAAGCCTGCCATGCAATAAACAGCGGTTTAATAAGTTGAGGCCTGGAAGAGATGCCTTATGGGAAATTTAAGAATATGGGAGCAATTAGAGCCTAGGTCAGCAAAGCTTTATACACCATAGTGAACATCTTGAATTATACTTGGAAAAAAACAGTAACCATGTACGGAAGATGATGTAACTCTCTCGGTATTCATCACTTGATCCAGCCATTCCCAATTTGGCATCCTTCAGCTGAGTAGGGACTCAGTCCCCATCAACCTTATCCACAATAATCCATGATGGCTGGGGATGATGGGAATTGTATTCCAACCCATTTGGAGGCCAGAGAAGGCTGAGCTCACGTCAGAGCTGACTTTGTGCATTAATCGTGAAAGGAATAATGCAGGAAGGAGAAAGACGGGACAGCCAGTTGATACTTACTGCCTCCGCATAGCAAATTGTTGATGACTACTTCCTTCTTGATTCCTTCAGGCTTCATGATAAGGGAAAAAGAAGGGGGGGAAGAAATGAAAATGAATGTGAGACATTTTTTAAAAATCCCTGAATGATCATCTGAATTTTTAAAAATCCCTGTTCTGATGAAACCTGGGTGGAGGAGAAACTGTGGTGTTGTTACAAGAAGTAGAATATAGGGAGAAACAGATGGACAGAACTTGAACCCACAGAAAAATGCAGGTGTGGAGGGTGGAAAGAAAGGAAGCAACCCCACCAGATTGGGATACCGGGCACCAGAGATAAGAACTGCCATTTGACAGGTCACAAGGAAGAAATCCATCCAGATTACACCAGGTCTGGAAGAACATCCACCAAAGATAAGAGCTGGTATTCATCATGTCATGTAATGGTCAATGAAAGGCTGAAGCAACATGGGGGGAGGGGGGGAAGTGTGACCAACATTGCTGGCAGAGCATACTTACTGACTTTAATATATCATTGCTCTCACTCTACCCTTGCCTCCAACACACGAAGGTGAAAGCAGCCCATACATACCTCAACTAAGAGGGTTTTGACCACGATGTCTCTTCGTCCTTTCGTAGGCACTTCCACGATGTCATTCCCACAGAGCTGGTCGGATTTCAGGGCCTCTGCAGTTATCGTGAAGTTCACTTCCCCTAGAACCAAAATGGACACTTAGTCATGCATACCCCAAGGATGCCTGAGCATCTCTCTCTTTCGCTCGCTCGTTCCAGTCTGGTTGCAGAGGAGCAAAGGGGCAACTTCATGTTTTCTTTTCTCTTGGGGTTCTTGCTCTTTAAGCTGCATAAGGACTGGCTGCTGGTGAAGCCCTAGGCAGCTGGGCAAGACCAAGAAAGGAAGAATTACACCGGGTTCAGTCAGTTGCTATTTATGAGGTAAGCAGCCAGCAAACTCCCCTTCTAATAGAAGAAAATATCTGTAGCTCAGGGTTGAACTGTAGAGTCCTTGGGGATCTCTGAGCTTGGTGGTTTTCTTGCAGATGTCACCTAGTTGAGTAATGAAACATCTGCAAGGAGACCCCCAAGCTCAGAGATCCCCAAGGACTCTACAAACTCCTCTTCTGTCTCTTGATTGCTTATGTCTTCCCTTTCATTCCTTCCCCAGCCTTCCCATAATATCTCACACAGCTATTTAACAGCAGATGGCTGCAAATCTCACAGGGGTAGCAAACCTTTGGAGTCAGGGGCATATTGAGAACCGTAAGAAGATATGATGGGTACACTGACAAAATGGTTGCCATGGGAAGCTTGTATATCACAGGCTAGTTGTCAGGCACAAAGCACCCATTTAGGAGAAGGCACAGAGCTCCAGAGGGTGCCCTCCACTATCCCAGTGGGAACCTAGTGGTGTTGCTGCAAATAACTATTGTAAGGTATTAGAAGCTGTTGCTTTGTTTGGCAACATACCTAGAGATAGTCCTTGGTTAACAACTACTCATTCAGTGACTGTTTGAAGTTATGACGGGACTGAACAAGTGGTACTACAACTGGTCATGTGATCATGATTTGGGCGCTTGGCAACCGGCTCACACTGATGACGGTTGCAGAGTCCCATAGTCATGTGACTGCCATTTGTGACCTTCCCTGCCAGCTTCCAATGAGCAAAGTCAGTGGGGAAACTGGCAGGGAAGGTTGCAAGTCGCTCCTGCCCCTGTCACTTTTTCTCCCAAAGAGCCCCATTATGGAATATGAGATCCTGGGGATCTCATACTCTGTAGCATGCACCTGCCTGCAGCATCCCGCTGCCTGCACCCCATAACATTCACCCCGCTGCCCAACTGCATTTGAGTCAGGCCACAACACCCACTCCCCACCAGCCACACTCCATAGCACTCACCCACCCACCAACCTGCTTGCGAGCCACCTAAGGAAAGGCTTGTGACCAGGACTTGCGATTTCCTGCCGGCTTCCCCACTGACTTTGCTTGTTGGAAGCTGGCAGGAAGTCACAGGTCACACAAGGTCCTTGCTTAACAACCCATGATCCTTACTTAAGGATGGCAACGAGGACTGCCGGGATTGCCATCGCTAAGCATGATGCTTTATGGCATCACTTAGCAACAGAAATTCCAGTCCCAATTACCGTTGTTAAGCAAGGACTAGCTGTACTTCCTGTTTAACTTCTTAAAATTAATAGACCACTTAAAAAGTCAGGTGGGGTGAGGACCATGGCAAACAGCAGGAAAAGCATTTGGGGGGATTTGGGGGCCCATGGTTGGAAATAACAGAATGTTCTCCTGAGCTCTTCCAAGACAAGTTAGTTGTCCATAGAAATAGAGACTCCTATGCTCTGGGACTGAAAAAAACTGAAGGAGTCAAGGGTCATTCAAGACACTTCGCTGTTTGAGGCAGAAGGCAAGGTGGCACCTTCCAATTCAATAAACGGGGATCAACCAGACTGGCAGAAGAATATCAGGATGTGCTGGTTGACAGGACAGAGACCTTCATTGCACTTGAAAGGTGCGAGAAGCTTAGGTGCGAGAAGCTTAGGGGAGTAGAGAGCCAGGGAGATGGCCTTGAAGGGAATATTCAGAAGCTGTTACAGAAACAACAAGGGCAGAAGCATTCCTTAAACCCTGGGAAAGGGGAAAGTCTTAAGAAGAGACTCTGTCTGGTTTCTCCCTGACTCCCTGGGGCATAAGAGGGAGGCAAGGAAAAACACAGAATTGCAAGATTTTGTTAATACGGCCTATCTCAATCAAGCTTAATTCTAGCCTGCTTCTGGGGTTAGTTTCCTGATCTGGAAGGACTGATTGGGACACAGAGCTGGAGAATGGACAGGAAGTACAGGAGGAAGAAGACGATGCCTGAGGCAGCCTCCTCCCTTTGCTGAATGGCAGGGCCGGCCCTAGAAGCAGTCTGAAAACAGGTTCCCCCAACGTCTGCCCCAAGAGATTGCACGACTCCACAGACTGTGGGGTAAAGTATTGAAAGCAGCTCTGGATGTCAAGTTACAGTGGTACCTCGGTTCACAAATGCTTCTGTTCACGAACAATTCGGTTCACGACCAGTACCGTTCGCAAAATTTTGCTTCCGGGCGCGAACTCCGCATCAGGTGACGAACACGACGCGAGGCCATTTTCCCTGCTGTGACACGTG